TATACTATAACGTTTTATCGAAAAAATTTATCTTTACTTAAGTTTTCTTTATAGTTGTTTTTAACCAATCTTTAGTCTTTAGTTTTTTGAGGCGTTATTCTGGTAAGCAGACCATACCTGAGGTGATGGGCTGAGAAACATTTGTTGGAATAAAGCGACAAAACCTTTGTCCTTTTGTTTCCATTTCACACGAAGACAGTAACTAACAACAGTAAATTCGATCATGGCAGCGAAAGCAAAGGCCATACATGTTCCTATCCAAACATCTATTGCTTTTACGTAGCTAGCCTAAATGCTTTATCAGTGTCGATTTGAAATGGTTTTGCACAGGAAATATCAAATAATTGCCGAGAAGTATCACTGGTTGAAAATCTCTAGGAAATCCCGAATTCTTTCAAGTAAGCTGAATAAATTTATCTACAGTTGTTCAGTTTTCTCTTATCATTAGCAACACCAGAACTTCAAATATAGTTAAATTTTGTTAAATTTAATTATAAATGCCTCAAATTAAATAAAAGTAATAAGATAAAAAGTAACGAAAAAAAAGCCAATTGTTATTTTTTTTTTTTTAGTTACCACCTCCAGCTTTTTTCTTATTTTTGTAAAAACCACGTTGTCTCTTATATCAGAAGTGTTCATTCGAATAAAATAAGAAAAGATAAAAAATGAAAACCTTTAACAACTGCTATTTCTTTCTTGTAAAATATTAAACTGTCTGTAGTTATAAATCATTGGTAAATTTTTAATGTGTTCTCAAATACCACTGGTTCTTGTTACATTATTTATAAATACAGTGAACTATACCGTTTATTTTATGACTACGTTATCAAAAACAAAGTGAGCTTAGGCTGATTACTAAAAGAAAAAATTTTTACGGTTTTACTTACTTACCTAACGCACATTAGCACCGACCTGGGTAAAAATGTTAGTAGAATCGCTCATTCCTAATTTGAAGAATTTTTTGAGAAAAGATTTTGTTGGCGAAGCGGCAGAATGTTACCAAGTTTATAAACAAAGAAACCTGAGGTAAAGCCATTCGAGCTGCTGAGCTTTGCGTTGCCAACGTTAGCAAAGTTGTAATACTAAGCGATACTCTTCCAGGCACAGATTCTACGTCCAACCAAAATCCAAACCAACTGATTACCTTAAAAACAATTCATTAAACTATTTATGTTATCAAATAAACAGAATTACTGCAGTTTCACTTTAAGCTGATCAAAAAATAGCAATAAACCGGTAAAAAAACCTGCAAGTATTTTATATTTTAATAAATAAATTGTCATCTTTCGATAATTTTTTTTCACTTTTTTAAAGAAAACTTGTTTTAATCTTTTACAAGAAATTACAAATTTTTTCTATATCTATAATCTTTCTTTAGCCAATGAACTTTTT